CAGCAGCAGCAGCGGGGGGCATGCCCGGATCGTCACAGCCCCGGGAGCCGCAGGACGGGGACTCGGGTATGACGCTTCCTGGGATCCTGCACTTCATCCAGTACGAGTGGGGACGCTTCCAGGCCGAGAAATACCGCTGGGAGGCTGAAAGAGACGAACTCAGGGTAACATTTCCTTACAGTTTTCCTGCTTTTGCAATGCTAACCCAAATAATGGCCAGGACTGACACTGCGAGAAGCTCCTTTGGTGCGGCTTTGTGACAGTAGCTTACACATGCCCCGCAGTCAGTCTCAGGATGACAGGATGCTAACGGGCTAACCATACACCTTGTGATAACCAGGGCGTGTAATTACTAGACAGTAAATGAAAACACAGGGACTCTGTGACCTCCAGCTGATGACCACCGAGAGCCAAACAGCCACCAGTAGCATTTAAACATCAAATAACGAGTATTTTCAGAATACATTCATCTTTTCCTTTCAGCCTTCAAATGAACACATAATCAGTTGTATTTCAAGATATAGAGCACCTCACTAGACAATAGAGGTCTATAGCAGCCAACAAAAGCAAGCAAGCAAGCTACCCAGCAATGAAAAAGGTAGGTAAATAGGTGTGCCTACCTTGTGTCCTTGATAATTATGCATCAAATATTTGCCTTGACCAGACTCCTTTAAGATAGGCTGTGTTTTGTTATGTATGTGTAAGTAGATGGTTATTGGGTTTTCATGCTCCTTGGGGACAAATCTGTGGTTGTCCTATTGATGCTGACAGCATTACACTGCCGTGACTTCATGTTGAAATCACTGCTTTTGAGAACGATGGATATTTGAGCACCCGCTGTCAAAGTTGTGCCCTCAACTTAAGAAGGTGCCACTTTATAATGAGAAATGGTTTGATGGCAAGTGAGAGGAAATGATTCGAGTAACCTTTGACCAAGGCTTCTGTTCTCAACATTAGCAGTTTTTGTCCTAAATCATATCATACTGTGAAGTAGTGAAATTGCTGGAATAATGTTAGTTTGCAGTAAAGTTTGCGTCTGTGTATCTGGTGGCATTGAAAAGAAATGAATGTTTTAAATTTAGGCCTGACACACACATGGATGAGTCAGTGCTGTGGTGTTTGAACATGACTGATAAATGTGTCATGTGGTTGTGGTTTTCAGCATCTTCACACTTTTTTGACAGTCTTAATTATTGTCAGTAAAGTACCATCGAATCCACAACTAAACGTGTGGCTAGTGCTTGCAGATTCTGGCTGAATATTTAAGAGAGACAATATCAAATGACCCACCACTTAGAAACACACGTGTTGTCTGACTTTTTATTAGAGAAGCGATCTAGTGACCTTACAGGTCATCACTTTGAAATGACTAGAGTCAGTGCTACAGAAATGGACTATGTAACCATTCTTCATGCATGTGTGTAACTGAATGAGGCCAAGTATTTAAGGTTGTACTTACTTGTCAAATTATTCCAGGATTAAGAAAGGCCAGGAAAGCACACAATGTTTTTGCTCTGCAACTGGAATGAAAAACGGTTCATCTTTTCATTCCTAAACCCATATGTGGTCTCTTCCTATAAACACAGTTGGCATGTAATCAGATCTTCAGAAGTTCATGAGCTTGACCAAAAACATAAAATAAAATAAAAATTGCCTCCCTCCTGCCATTCTGCTTCCCACTTTGCCCTCAACTCTAACTGATGTAGTTAAAACAGGAGCTTGATAAAATATGGATGAACAATAACAAACTGGCTGTGCTTGCTGCTCTTATTGGCGTGTGTGGGAAAAAGTGGAAATTGAAGTCAGACGTAGGCCAGCGCCATATCCAACATGCCATTGATGCTTGTTATGGAACTTTGTTTGTTTGTGTGTAGGCTACTTGCTGCACACGGTCTGGCTTCACGGGTACAGTTAGCACCACGTCCTGTGCTGAGAGAAAGAGCGGCTCACTGGAGTGCCAAACAGGCAAATTGACCTAGCTTACATTTTAACACCCACATGCCTCTGGCTTTTGTTGCCAACATTCTCACAGGGCTCTTATTCATGCCAGTTAGCATGCCCCTGGGCCGTGTCCTGTATAGTTGGCCACATACTGCGCAAGTGTCCATAGAATATTTAGCTCCTCTTGCCTACACATGACATTTTATGGCCTGCATATGTTTAATAAAGGAGCTGAACACAAGATCTTAGTTAGCAAAAACAAATGAAGCAGAGCCATCACCAGTATTTGACAGAGCTTATGAAAATGTTGCTCTATGTGTAACAGTGTGGATATCTGTGTTTGTTGCATAGCCCTTCTCTGTGATAGTGTAACATGTGCTGTCTCGGAGAGTGCTCAGTATGAAAGGCCACCTGTGGTGCCATGTCTCAAGTGACAGGCCAAGAATGATGGAGTTCCCCTGCTCTGGGCCAGGTGGAACACCCCAGGCCGACCATGGGACAGGCGGTGGTGGCCTTAGCAGGCGTCAAACCAAGTCACTACACTTACTCGGGACACGTTTATCTGTCCCTCTTTGCATAATTCTCATTTTCAGATGTTTAATTTTATTAACCATCTCAGTATTTTTGTACAATAGGTTAGTGTTGACTTCATGTTAATTATGGCCCAGGGGCCTCTCAGCCGTGACACACATGACATCCATATGTACTGCTTTACTACAGTACATGCCGCCTGCCCATGCAGACTTGCAGCACTCCTCTTGTTTACTTGTTTAAATTTTTAATCTCTCCTTAAGTAATTATTTTCATGTTATTGTATTTCTCTGTTTCTTTCCTGGCTCCTCCTCTGAAATCTTTTTCCTTCTCTTATTGGAGCGCATTCATGGCATGCAGTATTTTTGGCTTCACTATGATTACCAAGCATCTTGTCATCAAACTTAGGCAGCAAGCCTCCAGTTAAATCTCACTGACACACACACACACACACACACACAGTTCCAGAAAAGTTCATTGCTCTACTTGTTGGATTGTCTCATGGGGATGTAGGGATGCGAAGAGGGAGGGTGGCCAGTGGAGGAGGAGAGCTGCCCTTGACCCTGTTCTGCAGCTAGTAGAGACAGGCTGACAGAATGGGCTAAATGTGTCGGCCGCCCAGGCTACAACAAACTGTGAAAAGGTCAGCGCAGTAGGCCGGGGGGGGGAACCAACTCACAGGAAGGAGATCAGATGACGCAGCAGGTTTACTCGCTGCAACGTTGCTTTTTACACTGGTTGAACGTACATAACTACATTTACTCTAGGACTGCACTTAAGTACAATTTTGAGGTATCTGAACTTTAGTAATTTCATTTTCCTGCTAAATCATATTTTGACCTCACTACATTTTTGAGGCAAATGTTGTTCATTTTACTCCACTGCATTTATTGGCTAACTTTATTTAGTAATTACTTTTCGGAATCAGATGAATAAAACAAAGTACAGTACAACAATAAGGCTTTATTGATCTTCAGTGGGAAACTCACAAGCTACCCAGCAGTAATTCAAAATATAAAAATATAAGGTAGTTTAAAAAAAGCTCCAGCTTTACCAGCTGCAACATTAAATGTGATGAACACAATAATGCATCAATGATTCTGATCCATGAATATGATACGCATTAATGTGAAAATTAGTACTTTTACTTTTGGGACTTAAAATATACTTAAGTAACATTTTTAATGCAAGACGTTTTCTTCTAAAAGTATTTCTACTCTGTGGTATTGTTACTTCTACTTAAGTAAACAATCCGAGTACTTCTTCCATCACTGTTTTTGTACTTTAACCTTGTAGGTTTACCACTTTAATACAAAGTAAATAACCACAACAGACAAACTAATAATTTAGTTATTCGTCAGCATGGGTTAGTTTTAATAGAACATTTTACTTAAGTTTAATTACAATGTCTTTTGACCAGCTGCTGCACAACTGTAGTGACTGTCTCTTCTGTTTTGGCTTTTATTTTAGGTGTCTGACTTTTAATAAGACGGCCGTTGATAACCAGTGAACGCACTGTTTGTCTCACTTGTTGGCCTGAGTCCCACACACAAGTGAAAACAAGCATGTTCCAGTCTGAACGTGGCAAAGGGCAGAATAACAGTAAGCAGTGAGAGCAAAAAAAAATAAAAAAATGTAAAAATGGTAGGCGTTTTTTGTTAGCGTATTGTGTAGAAAGGAAGTGTAAGTGAAAACAAACATCTTCAGAGCTAAATGAATTGGTAAACAAGTGATATGATGGCAACAAAGTATGTGAACCCTTTTGGAAAGGGTTGGTCATAAAATGTGATATGATCTTCACCTAAGTCTCAAGATGGACACAATGTGCCTAAGTTAATAAAAAAAATCTTCTCTGTCTTTATTGAACAAACCCATTAAACATTCATAGTGCTGGTGGAAAAAGTGAGTGACCCCTTGGATTTAATAACTGGACAAACATTTGGCAGCAGTAACCTCAAACAAGCCCTCGCAGCAGCTGGGGCTCCAACCTGCACTACCTTTAGGAGGGATTTTGGGCCATTTGTCCAGAGCCACTTCAGCTCAGACATGTTCTTAGGATGAGTGGTGTGAGCGACTGTCTGGGGCTCGTTCCACAACATCTCTACTTGGATGGGTTCTGACTGAGCTGCTCCGAAAGGCACATATTCTCTGTTTCAAGTCATTTTGTTGTAGATTTATGTTGATGTTTAGGGCCACTGTGTATGGTAGACTCATAAACAGAGATGTTAACTAGCTCCAGTGATTCCTTTAAGCCTTGACCTGTTACACTGAGCATCTGTTTTACCTCAGTGAGTGTTCAGCATTGTGCCTTTGAAGTCATCTTCGGCCATCGCCAACTTCTAACTCTAACGTGAGCATGGCGCTACCTAAGAAGAGGAAACCAGGGGATGCAAATTGCAGTTTGCACCAACTTGAGAGTTTATTATAGTTTTATGATCTGATGTATTATGTGGATGGCTTTTTTTCAAACTTCTATTAAGGATTGCTCTAACATCTTTGATCATGTAGTAGTTGGTAGCTGGGGCAGCACAGTGGTGTGGTTAACGCTGCTGCTTCACAGCAAGACGTTCCAGGTTCGAGTCCCGGCTGACCCGGGCATTTTCTCTCTGCGGAGTTTGCATGTTGTCCCTGTGCTTGTGTGGGTTCCCTCCGGGTACTCCGGCTTCCTCCCAAAGACATGCAGCTTAGGTTGACTGGTGACTCTAAACTGCCCGTAGAAGTGAGTGTGTGTGGTTGTCTGTCTACATGTCAGTCCTGCAGCCAGCCCCCCTCCTCTGATCCAAAGTCAGCTGGGATTGAGTCCAGCCCCCCGCGACCCTCATTAGGATAAGCAGTATAGATGATGGATGGATAATTTGTAGCTTTGACTGTTATTTTTGTGCAATAACTAGATCTTATAAAATACTCTCACTGTTTTACCTATAACCATTAACTTATAACACTGAGTGGCAGCCTGTCCTTCCACAGTAGGAACACAACATGACACTGGTGCACAGGGTTGTGATAGCTATCTGTGTGTGAGCAAGTTGTAGCTTGTCTGTGTGAGTAGGAGTAGAAATGCATGCCCTGCCCCTTAAGAGGGAAGTAGACACATTCCAGTTAGAGGTGGAAATTACGAAGTACTTTTCTGATTCAAACAGTTTAATTCAGACTGAGTGTGTACATTTTTGTTTTTTAAGCTAAGCCATTGCATCACTGTTCCCTTCAGTACCATTTAGGCCTACATAAGAGCCAGGTATAAAGTGAAGAGCTCAGCAGCTACCTTACTGCAGCTGCAGTAGTTGCCATAGTATAATCGTTGCTCCTAGCCTTTCATTAGGTTTTTAAGCAGGACTGTATCAAGGTTGAGCTGACACTGGTGTTTTCACTCACCAGTAAGCTACTGATTCAAACACTGCCACTCTGCCCTTCTGTTGAATTTAACTGGTTTTACCCAAGTTGATGACCTGCAGCAGACCACGGTATCAGAACAGACTGTGACTTTGAAGATCTCATTTTAATGTAAGCTGTGTTCCATTTGCTCTTAGCTGTTTGTAACATACATGCTGGCTCTGATATCTGGACCTCTTAACTACTGTGGCACTGTCTACTGTGCACAACAGCCAAGCTGTGCCTGGTTTGTCTTTTAGCATTGGTAACATTATGTTACATGGCAACAAGCTTTTGTACTTGTGTGAATGTACAAATACAGAATAGCATCTGCCAGTGTTGGGGAAGTTAAACTGAAAGCGTGGCTTTGCAAGCTACCAGTTACTTGAAAAAGTTGAACTACAGCAAAGCTGCTCTAGGAAGAAATCGACTTTGGTTAACAAAAGCTACTTAGAAAAAGTAGTTCAAACTACACTGTATAAAAAATGATCAGACCGACAATGTAAATGTGATACAAAAAAGTCACATGCCAGCAAAAGAATGCCACTCAGCTGAGTTTACTACGTGAGACCTAAACATGCCCTGGGCTTTTCACGGAGACAAAACCGCAAGGAATATGACAGTTTTGTCGTAAACAATTGTGGATTTTGTGTTATATGACTACAGCTAATACAGTAAAGAAAAAAATGTACCTTGCACCTTTTTAGACAGTGAGAACAGCTCAAACACTAGTCTAAATAAAGAGCCTCTCTCTTTATTCGTCAGACTCTCTTGTTTGTGTGACCCATGAGCTGTCTCTCAAAGTCCTTATTTAACACGCCGTTCTGTCTGGCACTGAAAATATCCTTGCCAAAGCTGAAAAGCCGCTCAACATGCAGCTCGGTAAAATAAAACTACAAAATAAATCCATTCCTTTTTCCAAGTTGTTTGTAGTTTCAGTAGTTAACTATACAAAATGGCAAAATAGTAGTTTAACGACTTAAATCCCTATGCACATATGAATGTAGTTCATATTTGCAAGCCAGCAACCTCCTACAATGTGTATTTAAACTCCTAGTTTAATTTCATGTAGTTCACTACTCCACAACGCTGGCATCATTACAAATGAAATGCTCAGCTGGCTAGCTATACAACAGTTTGTATAAGGTTAAGCAGAGTTTGTTTCACCAGTCTTACTAGCTTGTTAAATGACCATAGTGTTTCTCGATATGTCCTTTCAGTGCTCGATACACAAAACATTAAATTCATTAGTTACTGGGCTTATTTTAAGCACCTCACTGCTCCTCTGAGGTTAGGCCAAGTATAAACTACATAAAATGACCTGCAATTCGCAACCCCTTCGACTGTGCTTGCATTTGTGACATGCAAGCTTTGACAGTTATCTCCAAAATTCTCAGATAAGCATATAAAATCACATAGCGTTAATCTGGATTACTCAGCAGCAGTAGTAGGGTTTGCTTGGCAGATTATGCTGTGTTCCACTAGCCCTCCTAGCTGGTTACGTGACTGTGTGTGTGTGCCTTCCTGGTTGATTGACTACCCTCTCAAGTAGACTGAGCGCCTGCCCCATGAGACAGTGTTTTTAGACTGTTCTAGTTTTACAGAGTTGCATATGTGTGTGGGAGCAGACTCGTGGACACAGACAGGAGTGTGCAGAGGAGAAATGGACTGCAAAACAAGCAGTACTAATGCCTCAGTGCAAGAGAGAGAGAATGAAACTGCAAAACTAGTGTGGATACAGTCACCTATATGCAAATCCAGAGAGCAGAAAAGGGGCCAGACCTTTCTTAACCTACTTCTAGGAACACTAGGATTTTTCTCCTTCAGCCATTAGGAGAGCAGGATGTTTACTGCCAGGTATAAACCACAGTTTTGCTGAAAAATTATTCCCCTGTTAAACATAGTTCCTTTAAACCTGTGATGTTCACTGCGGCTGTGAATGTCACTTTCCTCAAGGTAAGGATTTTATCAGCTCAGTGATGAAGGAACCGGACGGAAAATGAAAGGGGAAGCACACAAAGGAAGGATGTGTCTTAAAAGAGGGTATTTGAACTTGCCTGGTTTTGTTTTTCCCCCTCTGTGGATGCACAGTGAGGCCTCGGTTAGGTGAAGTTAAAAATAAGAGCCCTGTTCCACAACCCTCTACTTTACTCGTCGGGATTCTCAGAAGTCATGTTTGTTATGCTTGTCACATAAAAAGTTTTTCCCTTTGCGGTCGTTGCTTGTGATCTCTGTTGATATGAAGTGCTTTTCTTTTGTCTAATACATTTAAGTTAGAGTCTTGATGGCAGTTTGAATTGATTTTTGGTTTTTATGTGTGCTGATATCTGCGGCTGTGGCATGTGTGTGTGCCTATTTTGAACGTAATTTGTACGGCCCTTACCGTTCTGTGAATGTGTGTGTGTTTCAGGCTCAAGTGGCATTCCTACAGGGCGAGAGGAAAGGGCAGGAGAATATGAAACAGGACCTGGTAAGGCGGATCAAAATGCTGGAGTACGCCCTCAAACAAGAGAGGTAATGCAAACACCAGGAAACTCGCTCTTCCTGTCACTCTCTCCTCACATGTGTTATCCAGTCTGTTAACTTGATGCTGTTTATGGTTTAGGCATAGTGATTTGACAGTGCAAGGTTTAATTATATGCACTTGTCGTGCTGCCCTCATGTGGTCTTTTGTGGGGTTGCAGGGCGAAACACCAGAAGCTGAAGACAGGAAACGACCAGAGTCCTGGAGAAAAGAAAGCAGAGACTGAAGCAGACCTTCGTATGTTGAAACAAACTGTTACATGCTCTTTTATTTGGAAATACTGTACTGTTGACTGCTGTTGCATCTTTACCTTCTGCTGTACTTCCAGAGATTCTGCTTTTCAGTTTCTGCTCATGCCTTACTGTAGCACCACTACTGACCAATCTTTTTTTTTTTTTGTAGTTCCCAATGGGCCAGCTGAGTCAGACTCTGAGCCAGCCAATCAGATGTCCTGGAAGGAAGGACGTCAGCTACTACGGAAGTAAGGCTTTACTTTCGTCCCATGACCCTATCCATCAGTACTTTATCACTGGTTTTAAACTTGTAATCTAGATCTGAATGATTAATTTATATAGATGTGGGTGTATATTGATTCTTTTTTTTCCTGCAAATGTAGATATCTTGAGGAAGTGGGTTATTCAGACACCATCCTGGACATGCGGTCTAAGCGTGTGCGCTCCCTGCTGGGGCGAAGCAGCCCTGAGGCTAACGGACCCCCACCCGGTGAAGCCTGTCCCGAGCCTCAGCCCCGGGCAGGCGGAGAGTCTATGTTGGTCAGACAGATAGAGGAGCAGATCAAGAGGTGAGACTGTGGAAGCAGATACTGTCTCTCTGCTCCACAGATGCGAATAGTGTTGACACCAGCAGTACCCGCAGTTTGCAACCCAAAGCTAACATCTTAACACACAATGGATGAGTGAAACAAAAATCCAGTTTTTTGTTTTTTCTTTGTTGTTCTAGTCTTGAATAAATTACTTTACTATCTATGAGCTTTCCATACCTGTTGTTATATACCGGTACTTTACCTGCATAATTTTTTTCACCTGATAAAATTATACTGCTTATATAATTATTGTCAGAATTCTGTTGGCAGATATCAGTCTCATAGACTTTCAAGTCTCAATCACCCTTTACAGGCATGGCCTAATTTACACATCATAGCACATTGTGATTGTTTATTTTCAAGCTTTACACTGATCCATACAGCACTGCACAGAGTGGGTTCTGACAAAGACCTCTTGCACAAAGCAGAGCAGGGGTTGACTCGGCTCTTGTAATGATCTTAATCAGGATATGCTATTTTAAATCTGACAGTCTTTGTAATAATGCATCAGTGAGTGGCATACTGATAAAAAAATAAATAAATAAACAGTGCTATGGAAGTAGAAAGAGATTTACTGTACAGAGAATGTGTAGGTGGCTATAGAAGCAGAGAGCTGTGTCATAGCACAGAAAATATATGTACCTATTAGATATGGTCATGTACAGATGAAACTTGTGAGGAGAAATATTTGAACCAAAGATAGCTTATCAAAACTGTAATGTTTGGTCTGAGTAGGGAAGTTAACAACTGATAAAACCTGTTTAAAGACAGCTTTACTGTAATGTAGACTGCTTCGATAATATGGCATTATGCAGCATAGCTGATGTCCTTCTGCCTCCCACCGTAAGGTATTGTCCTAAATAATCTTTTCGTCCTAAATAATCTTTTCGTAACACGTGGAGGGACTGTAAAGTATGCCCTCGTTCACCTTTTGACCTTTTACTTCTCACTGTCTTGGCATCTCTTCTTGTCAATAAAACCAACCTCTTTTCCCAGCCACCTGTCTCTCTGTCCTGTTTCACGAGCTGTCACTCTGTGACTCTTTAGAGCTGTGTAGTGTCACCTCTGCCTGTAGATGTATTGTCTGTGGTCCAGGGTCATAACGCAGGGTATTGCGCATGCTGCCTTCTCTTTCTACATTTCATTCTTTGAGTCACATTTACACTGTAGCCCAGTGCTTTTTTTGATTCATCCTCCCGTAAAAGGAATCTTTTTCATATTGTGTGAGTGTATGTTGTGTATTTATAGAATGAAGTATTTGTTTCTGCGTCTGTCTGCATTGGTCTGTCTCTCATCTGTCCGTGTGTTGGCCTCTTCCGCCTCTCTGCATGACTGGATGTTTTGTGTCTCTCTCCTCTTGCCGAGTTCAGAGAACCGCAGGAACAAGTTACAAGGCATGATGTCGGACTTCCCCCCTAAACCTACCCCACCCCCCTCGGTATCAGGACAGGCTCGTTCTGGTGAAGGTAAGACTTTCCCACCATTAAAAAAAAAAAAAAAAAAACCCTAAACTATTTTCTCCCGCGTACTCT